AGTAGTAATTATTTTAGGGTATTTTTGGAAAGGCCGCATTTTTATTAACCTGGGATAAAAATTGTGTTCCCTTACAATAATATAGGTGGTTAAAATAAAATTAACTGTAAGCGCCTGAAGCTTAGACATTTTTTATTCATGTTATTATAAATTAATTAATTACCATTAGTAATGTTATTATAATTGTTATATGATTAGTTAAAATTTCCCCTTAAATTGTCCAACCAATACAATTTCCTCAAATAAGTTAAAGGATTTTTATTAAAAAGAAAATATTTGCATTATTATTATTATAAAAAGGTGTTTAATCATGCATTCAAAGTCAATAATGGTATGATGTTTTTACGGAACGGCTTAACAGTTTTTTTTTTAGGTTTCTTTGGATTGTGCGAGGCTCTTACTTGTGTTCTTTGTTTGAAGTTCATTGTTGGGGATGGTGAGTTTATGTTGTTCAAAGGTTTATTGCGGACATTTTCCATCACGGTTGTAAAAAACAATACACAACGTTTCGGGATCTGGAATCTGATCCCGATGTCATCAGTCTCATTGGTTAGTCCAGGAGCTGAGGGGGTTTGAGCATGCATGAAAGTAGTACGCAATGTTATTGCTGATTATTGTAATATGGACTGTGGTGATCAAAATTACGTATGTCGCCTATTTCAAAAGTGGTCGATAAGGTGGGGTGGGAGGGGGCAAACATGGCGGTTTGCGCTATGCGTTAAAACGCTGATAGTTCGAAAACGGTAAAAGATAGAACATCGGTTAAAACGTCGTTGGAATTCTAAAAATGTGGACAAAAATAATAGTTATTGGGCCCGGGGTCGTATCTCTATAAATAAACAAGTTATTGTATAAAATATGTAAAAATGGACTTTTCGTGTAGTTTTTTAACCGAAAGTAGAATTAATTTGTGAGTGTCGCAAAGAAGTAATATCAAATATCTTTGCTGATAGTTGTAATATGGACTGTGGTGATAAAAAATACGCATGTCGCCTACTTTTCAGGTGGTCGAGAACTTGGGGGAGGGGGGCAAAGATGGCGGAACGCGCTATGCATCGAGACGACTGTAGCTCGAGAACGGTACGAGATAGGACATCGGTTAAAACGTAGTTTTAATTCAAAAAATATTACCAATATAAAAGGTCATTGGGTAAAAAGTTGTATCTTAACTAATAAAAAAGTTATAACAATAATAAGTTTAACAATACCCCGCCGCAGCAAACCTGCCGACTAAGCGAATTTCCATTTGTCTGAATTGATTTTCAGTTAAATATATTTTAATAACATAAGGTTTAACGAGTACCTAGGTTTGCTGCTACAAGGAAAGTAATAAAGTGTGTTTTTGAGAAAAATATTGATAGCTTAGTACAAAATAAATAAATTTGCCAAGTTTGATCAAAATATATCCATAAACAAGCAAACTACAACATTTGACAATAGTCTCCATAAGAATAACATGGGAATTTTAAATTTACAATTTTTTTTATTTTCTCCGTTACTAATAATCGAACAAAAATACTTTTATATACTAAATTATTTGTTTTTTTAAGCTCTTTAAAAAGGTCTAAAGAGAAATCGGGAAATTTTGTGTTTTGAGGGTCAAAAGTGAGAAAAACCAATTTTTACCCCATAAAACCCCCCGTAAAGCCCTGTTCCCATGGTCCGATCGTGCTGGTTCGCGAACTCATTCAAGTTTATCCCGCTTTACACCTTTAAACCAAATTTCATCAAAATCGGACAAAAATTACTCAAGTTATCGCGTTCACGGACGTATATATATATATATATATATATACATGTATAAAAATTTGAACGAATGGTGTTTTTGGCCTCTGGGGACATCAAAATGAAAAAGTAAATCGGTCCCGGGTCTAGGTCTTACCGTGCCACCTACGGTAATAGCTACTTCCCTATAGTGAAATTCGCTAAAATCTACATCGCACAGCTATTTTTTTCGAAAATCGTATGGATTGTTGATAAATAATAGTGTAATTCCTTAATTACTCGGCTATATATTAACTAGATGCATTTTCTTATAAGAAAAAAATATATTATTACGAATACATTTGGTTTAAAATGTAAAACACGGCCTCCAAAATACATATAATACTTGGGGTTTCGCCGCAATCAAATGCATAATACAGACTACCACTAAAAATCCAATTTTAATTATTATAAAGTTGTAGGTCATTATAATATGATTATGTAACAGATTCTTATTCAGTTATGCCAGTTATTCAGTTCTTATTAACAGTTGTGCCGATATCAGCAGCACTGCGCAGCAATTATGACGCAACCTATCGGACGAACCCCAAAGCGTTTGGAGGCCGTGTTTTACATTTTAAACCAAATGTATTCGTAATAATATATTTTTTTCTTATAAGAAAATGCATCTAGTTAATATATAGCCGAGTAATTAAGGAATTAGGTGGAGTCATTGCGAACGGTGCTATTAGTGTTCCATTGTGTGAGCTTTTTACGTTACACCTTTTAGCGAATTTCCATATAGGGAATGAGCTATTACCGTAGGTCTCATGGTAACACCTAGACCCGGGACCGATTTACTTTTTTGTTTTGAGGTCCCCAGAGACCAAAAACACCATCCGTAAATTCATATATATATATATTTATTTATTTATTTATATATGTGTCCGTTAACGCGATAACTCGAGCAAAAATGATCTGATTTTAATGAAATTTGGTACAAACGTGTAAATTTACGTTTATTCGAACGAGTTCGCGAACCGGCATAATCGGACCATGGGAACAAGGGTTTTCCCATTTTTTACCCTAAAAACAAAAAAAATTGCAATTTATCTCTCAACCATTTTGTAGAGCTTAAAAAAAATAATTTAGTATATTAAAGCGCTGTTGTATGCCTAACAGTCACGGAGAAAATTAGAAAAAGTGTAATTTAAAATTCCCATGTTAATCTTATGGAGAAAATGAAAACTGTTGTAGTTTACTTGTTCATGGATATATATTGATAAAATTTTGCAAATTTATTTATTTCATCCTATACTATTGACATATGGTAAAAAACACTTTTTACCTTCCCCGTAGCAGCAAACCTAAGCACTTGTTAAATCTAATGTTATTTAAATTGGGAATAAATATGTCTTATTTATGGAAATGTTTTAGTAAAAATGTAATCATATAAGTTGAAATTCGCTTAGTCTGCAGGTTTGCCGCGGCGGGGGTATTATAGATTATAGTGTTTTGTGATTGGTCATTATTTGTATGTTGTATCATGACTTGGGACTGCTATACAGTGCATATTTTTGACTGCTACCTCCTGTGGTGTATCCCAACTTAGGTTGGGCGTTTGTGTATTGTTAGTTGTAATGTGTTAGTTAAGTTTTTTCACCTGAGGACGGGATCAGATTACAGATCCCGAAACGTTGTGTATTGTTTTTTACGTGTTACCTGGTGTAATGCACATTTCTTCCCTTCTGACTGAAATAGTTTGACTTTAATGAAACACTCCCTTTGGAAAAGTGTAGTCATTCTCGTAAACATCGCTAATGCAATTTACTGTCCACTTTGGGCTGATTAAAATTATTTGATTTTTTTAACGCGTAGCACGGATTAGGGTAACGGAGACAACATACTATAATTCACCCTACCAAAATAACCACATAAAAACTACAATTAGTTTTAGTTTGATTAGTGTTTGTTGATTTGTTGGATGACTTTAGATCCTGTGTTTTAATTAGGCTAACTGTAACATTCAATATTCTTGATGAAACAAATACACTTATCAGCATTTATCGTCGTTATAATCAATCTCCAATCGTCAATGTAGGATTGATATTTACAGGATATGTGTTCGTAGATATCTAGTACTGAATATATGTACAATATTTTTTTAACATTGCATCTAAACATTATATACTGTGAAACTTTTAATATCTATTAAATATCTAATGAGTATCTAAACAGATATTTTACAGATTTCTTAGATAAGATGTTTTAAAAATATATTTTACATGTGGATATCTGTAGACATATTTCAACCACTTTGAATATTCAATGGAAATCTGGTGCTGTTAGGGTCGTTATATCTGAGCTGCCAAATTATTTTCAAGCGTACACGGATTACGTGCATATATGATAAAAGCACGCTGTTTTGCGTTGTTTTTTTTGTTGGAATACTGGTGTGCACAAAAGTAAAAACTGTGCGCCAAAGTAAGACTTTCTGTACTATAATCTGTGCAAGGGAGCCCACTTTGTAGGGTGACTGAAGTAGGAAAAATATTATTGAAAAAATTAGCTCTTATCGTAGTCTTTAGCTATTATAGTTTAAGATGTGCGTGGGGTTGCGCCAGTCGCAATGAGGAAACATTGATTTTTATACATTTACACTTTCAATAAAAGAAACTATTTACTAAAGCGTGCTATTTAAACATATTTTTGAAAATATCTGTCTGATGGGCAGTTTAACATATTTTATGTGATTTATTAGTATTTGCTTGAGGTAGTTGTCATAACAAATTTCACAACTTTACTAACAAAGGGGACTTCAAAAATGTTATGACATTGACATACGATTTTCTTCAACTCCAAGTGTTTGCTTGAGAGTTAGTGTAGTTTATAATTTAACCAAGCTTATCTTTCTGATTGGTTAAGAACAAAATCACGAGGTTTATTCAAGTGTTTTGAGGTTGATATGATGGATTTAAAATTTCTGGGTACCTTAACATGCATTAGGTACCCTTCGTCCTTAAATTAAATAACTCGGACACAGTTACACCTTTATTTAGCTTTAAAATTTGCACCTTGCAATATCCAAATCAAAACAATATTATAAATTTGGTAAACATATTTTTGAAAAGTCTCAATTTATTCAGCAAACCTACAAAATCAGCTAAATTCAATTATTAAGATTTTAAACTGGTTAGTGTAACTATTTCCATATAGTATAATATAAAGTTTTATCTAGTACTGTACAAACTAATAGAACAAAAAAATCGTTTTAAGAAGAACCAATAATCTTCTTATTCATCAAGTCCCAGTCTCTGTCTCTCTCGTGCGCTGCATTTCAAGATGGCTTCCTCAGGTTCGTTTACAACTTTTATTATATTTTATATGTATTTCAAATATTTAAGCATGTTTTTAGAATAATTTATGATCTAATTTTATAGGTTTAACATCTAAAAAGCATTAATTGTATAAGCTTACTTTGCTTTATTCTCTTAGATTGTGCGAACATCATCGAACGTAGACCATGGCTGAAGGCTGGTAGACCTCGTGGCGATGAAATAAATTATAACTTTACATCACATTTTATTTAAACGTATTTGTACAAGTATAACTATTCGAATCCTTATATTTCGTTTAATTATCATACCCACTATTTATTGGGCTCGAGTGTCTATTCAAATCGCCTGATTGTTAGCAACCCATTAGGGTAGTCATCTAGGGCTAGGTTTAGAGAAATGAGGCGATGCTCTTGTGCTAACTCTTGGCAGTATGGGTGAATGAAAATACTTGTTGTGACCTTCAAACTATAGTCCGGCCTATTTTTGGTTTTTTAACTTTCGCTAGAAGATTCGAACACAATACCTAAATTAGCCTGTAAAATGTATGTTAAGTCATAGGCCTAGCCTAGGCTTATCTTATGTAGGCCTACCCCCACTAACACAACCATATGTGTCCCTAAAATGGGTTTGCTAGGACATGAACCCATGTGTTTCTAAGCCTATTCTGAATGCTTATTTGCCTTTGGTAATTTTTTTTTCAGAATTAAGCCCATTAGGTCTTCGGATGGGTACAGTTTCTTAACTGGGCTACGCTAATATTGATTGAAACTGTTGAATTGAAAATATTGATTAATAACCGATAAGTATTTTAAAATATGTCTATTATAAAATTGAACTATCATAACCTAACCTAACCAACCAAACTTGCTGATGGTGAAAAAATCGCATGAAGGTTTACTCCTAATCGGATTGATAGTTTCAATCAATATTTTAGCGTAGCCCAGTTAAGAAACTGTATTGGAGTTATTCTATTCTTTCAAAGTTTGTTAGGCTAACTTAGAATAGGTAATTTATAGGCCTATAACTTACTACCTACTTAAATTTCCATTTATGGCCACACACTTCACTGTGCCTCGGCCAAGGTTATCGTATAAAGTAAATCCGTTTTTAACTCTCCTGGTGTCACTAATTTTTTTTCTGTGGTGTCCGTCGATTTTAGGCAGATTTTGCAGCAATGTTTATTGAACTTTAGGTCTATAACAAATCTACTTTGCAAAATAGGTAGGCTTATATCTTGATACATATTTGTAGAACTAAATAACTTACATGCACATCATAATAAGAAAAAAATAATAATAATAATAATTCAGCATAAATTTCAGTTCTTATAAAACTTAGCCATTTTATGATACCTTAGGGCTAAACTTAAAAGTGCTTGGAAAGGCCTAAATTAGAAAATAAAAATAGGCCTCAAAAATGTACCTGCCCATATTTTTATGAATATATGTAACTAAATGAAGCATCTGAATGAGCTATTTCGAAATATTAGCCTATAGCAAAAAAGAAAATATGAACTTTGGTAAAGTGGTTTATCCCTCCGAGCGTCACTCGTCGAAAAATCGACGCACCACACACTTTGTGTAGTGTCACGCGTCGATTTTTCGACGCACGAACATCGTTTACGGCGAAGGCTCTATGACTGACTGAATTGGATTGAACTGGATCGAGTTTGGTATCGTTCTTTTCGTTATATTCTAAGCTTTCTCCAGAGGTCTGTCTCTAAGCGCTTTATGTTCTCCAAGCCGATCGTAATTGTAGCAGACAGCTGACGTGCGTATTTGTAAACAGGTAGGTTACCCTCGGACCGATGACTGATGTGTTTTATTACGTTTATCATTGTTTTAGTGTTAAAAATCAAAAGTAGTGATATACGTGGTGCATTATAAGAAGATTTAAGTGGTTTTGAAGTGCTGGTTGATGATCCTGAAGAAGTAGGTAGTGATATTGATGTAAATTATCAGCCAGATTCCTAGCTATGGTTAGGCTATGCATTCTTAGCTAAACGCTATGTACTGAAATCTGTTTTTTGCCCATAACTTATTTATTTGCAAATCTACTTCCTTATATTATTATATATCTGTAATCCTCATAAAATTTAGAACAAAGTGGCTATTTTAAAACATTTATAGGCCTATAATTTATACAATTTCATTGCGCGCGAACTTATTTTTTTTTTAATTTTCCAAAATATTTTTTTTTTGCCTAAAAAAATTTGTTGAAACAAATGTTCCTTATGTTTTATGTATAATATTGAAGCCCATGATTTTCCAAACAAAATGGTATATAGAACAGTAGAATTAACATTGTTTTAAGCTTCTCAGATCCGTTTTAATAAAACCTTGCAAATGCGCCAAAAATAGGCGGACATTAAGGCCTAAACTATGGACACTCGGAGGGTTATAGCCTACTTAATTTTTAGTAGGTATAGCCACAAATCATTTAAGCCTTTGAGTGCTACGCAACGATATACCGGTATCGTTTTGCATAACACACCTGAAAAATACTTCACAATCATATCGTAGTCGGTAGTCTTAACAAAAAATACATTGCAACGATATATCGGGCCGGCGCGACTTTCGATCATGTGAGTTTTAATGGGCATATCGGTTGACTCGGTTGTTAAGAGGCCTATAAAACAACCATGATTTCAATCGATTTCTCATACGATTGGGACAACATATATCGTTACCGGTACATAGCACTTTTGGGATGAAAATTTATACTTTCAACGATTTTTATTCTTGCGCACTAAGTACGCTTTGCTCCCACGGAAAGCCTGGCACTTTTCAGACATAGGCCTAGTTAAAAAAAACTGGCACTTTTCGGAAAGTACCGGTGCCAAAATAAATTTCTGGCACCCAAAGGGTTAGATATGATAGAGGAATAGTCGCATAATAACTCACTAAGGCCTATTACAATGACTAGCTACTGCCTTTACAGAAAACCTTAAAAACGTTGACACAAACACTTAAAACCAACAAGTTAGGCCTAATCACTTAAATACTAATAATGAAAATCACTTACTCCTTACTCATCACTTCTACTTACTTCGTCATTTAAATTAGTGATTATTTTGTACATCTAAATACATAGTCTAGGCCTAAACAGATGCCAAATAAAATATATTTTCAATAAAGCATATAACTTACAGAACTTGTAAACAACAACAACAAGAACAATACGCAACACAGCAACCAAAACATGACTTGGACTTATAACTACGTCGAAACGTTATCGTCAGTCCTTTGTCTCATAGGCTAGTTAAACCTTTATAGTTTGCCATCTCTTACTTGAGATATTGTCAATTTGGTAAAGGCTAATTTGTAACATTGAACACATATAAATATTTACAAAGACATAAATTAAAACAACTAAATATTTATATCTGTTCAATGTTACAAATTATACCAAATCGACAATATCTCAAGTAAGAGATGGCAAACTAAAGTTTTAGGTAGCCTATGAGACAATGGACTGACCTAGGTCTCCGCTATCAAATGAATTGGATCGTATGTTGAATAACGATCCAGAGGCTATATCTAAAAAAAATTCTTTATAGTTCTTTAATTGTTTTACGAAATTAAACGTCTATGGTCCAAGGACTCTTGAATGCTAAGATGGTGGCATCAGCCACACCTGAAGTGGTGGTGATGCAAATTGTTACCCACTTTAGTGGCGACTCTTGTAGATATTAGAACTAGGCTAAAATTATCATAGCCTATTTTCTATCATTGGTTAACACTATAACCGAAATCCCTGTCTGACAGGCACACGGGAATTTTCACAAATGCATGTTGGCAACATTGTTCACTTGGGGGATTCCATTCCCTCAATACCTTTCCCCCTTTTCTTCCCCTACCTTTTGATATAGGCCTATTGTTTGTTCATTTTGCGTGGGTGCGGTGACCTTGACAGGTTAGGCTATCTGTTCATAACATGCCCGTCTCAGAAGCACAGCGTTAGTGTATTTTAAAGCGGGGTCTCACAGGCCCAGGGTTTCGGTTTGTGTGTTTCTAAGCGGGGTCCATGATTTTCAAATGGGGTCTCACAGACCGGGGGTTTCGGTTAGCGTCAGCCTGGGTAGGGTTTTGGTATTAGTGTTAACTTATCACTCTTTCATAGTCACAAGAAATGTAACTTAAGTTTAGGCCTAGTCCCAGCTGACAGCCATACTGTATGGGTAACGTCTCAGCTAACCGAATTTGATTATTTCTCGAAATAACCAAAAGAAACATTTCCGTCACAGCAAACTTAGAGACCTATTGGATTTTTGCTATAAATGTCCTTAAAGCTTGTATGATTTAATCCTTACAACATTATTTTTAGGCCTTAGAATGAGTACTTAGTTTGTAGGCTATGTGGAAGATATTAGGCCTAAACACAGAGAAGTAATATACGGTACAGAGAATATACACGCTTATGGGACAACTGTGTGCTTTTAGCTCTAGTATGTTGGGGCGGGAATGTACTTGTAACGATCCAGGAAGAGCTTGAACGGCGATGACTACATAGTGTTTATCAGTTGTAGCGCACAGGGTCTTCCTACAGCGTGAGCACTGTAGTACAGTCCTGCCATAACTTCTGTGCGTGCGGATGGGTCGCTACTAACCGAATTTAAACATTCAGATGCCAGCAGTTATATAGCAGAGTTTGGGTTAGTGGTGAGTGAGTCACACTGAGTAGCAAGACATAAATGTTTTCACAAAAGTATCCCTGCCAACCCCCTCACTTAGACCCGACCTGCTCTGGCGCGTGCACAGAAACTTTGGCTGAACTGTATGTGATGGCGAGGGGGGAAAATGAGCGGAAGGGAACGACAAATAGAATTTGCTCTAGTCATCAGCGACTTGTGCTAGGCACCACTTTTAAGTTAAGTGTACCTTTGAATGAACTGTAGCCTATAATCTGTTACTTCTCTGTGGCCTAAAATGTTTAAAAAAAATTTTAGTGTATTATTAAAGCATGGTATGGGATGAACCAATCCGTCAAATTCAACCAAAATATAGGCCTAGCCATT